CCATCACTATATCCTTTTTATGGAAAAGAATTATAAGATTATTTGATTATTCTTCAAAATCTAATAATACAATTACTGCTAATAATAAGATAGATGATAGTTTACCACCAACATATGATTCACATGGGTTTTAAAATTATTATTATTTATATTAAAATTATATTTTAAATTTAAGAAATCAATTATGTTTTATGTTATGAATTTATTAATAAAATATTATCAATTATTAATTCATTTATTTTATAAATATTAGTACATATTTTATTATTTTTTTTTATATCAAAATGTCTTCTGAAAAAAAATTAGTTGATCAACTTCAAGATGATTATTTTTATTATGGTGATGATAGTGACGAAACAATCATTGATGTAGTTCTTGATTATATGAGTAATAATAAAGAATATTTAAAGAATGAATATATTATGAATAAAATTAAACAAGTTTTTAGAGATGAATATATTCATGATAAAAAATTAGATGAATCAAAAGATTTTTATTATAAATTAAAACAAAGAGATTATGAATTTGATATTGAATCTGCTATTGTAGTTAACCAATTAAAACCTCAGTTTGAGGTTGATGTTAAAGATGAAACACTTCGTCGTTTAAAGAGAAAAAATTTAGATATTAAGAATGAAGAATTATTTAATCATATTCAAGAAGAAGTTCATGATACAATTTCAAATTATTCATCAGTATTATCTTTATATAATGGTGATGTTAATAAATATGAAAAGTCTGAAGAATATAAATATTTAGTTAATAAAGAAACTTTACAACAATATAGAGAGTATGAATGTTAAAATTCATTTAGTAAAAACAATAGTTATATATAATTTTTTTTAGATTTTAATATTTTTATTTAATAAATAATATTCATACATAAATATAATATTTAATAATCATAAAATATAATAAATTTAAACAATATAAAAAAAAAACTTTTCTTAAAATAGTTAACAAGAAAAGAAAAAAAAAAATATAAATAAGTGTAAAATTTTAAAATTAAATATATTTGATAAATTTTCATATATCTTAATAAATATTGATATCTTAATAAAAATAATCGAATAAATAAATAT